GGGCAGAGTTTCAAAATAAGGGAGAAGGTAGGACCACTCAAGGATAAAGGAGGGAAGTTGCTCCTGGGGTCAGAGGATGTGGGAGAGATCCTAAATGAGTACTTTGCATCGTTATTCACTCAGGAGAAGGACATGGAGAATGGTGAGATTTGTATGGAGCGTGCTAATATGCTAGGTCATTTTCAGATCAGGAAAGAATTGGTGTTGGACCTTTTGAAGAGCATTAAGGTGGATAAGTGCTCAGGACCCAATAGTATCAAACCCAGGTTATTACGAGCAGCAACAGAGGTGATTGCTAGGGCCTTGACTAAGATCTTTGTATCCTTGCTAGCCACTGGAGAGGTCCCAGAGGACTGGCGAGTAGCTAATGTTGTTCTTCTGTTCAAGAAGTTAAATAGTGATAATCCAGGAAACTATAGACCAGTGAGTCTCACATCAGTGGGTGGGAAGCTATTGGAGAGAATTCTTAGGGGTAGCATGGTTAGTCAGTGTCATCTCAGTGCCAGGGACCCAGGTTCAATTCGAGCCTCAGGTAACTGTCTGTGTGGAGTTTGGACATTCTCCTAGTGTTTGCATGGGGTTCGTCTGGGTGCTCCAGTTTCCTTCCAGTCCAAAGATGTGCAGGTTAGGTGGATTAGCTATCCTAAATTGCCCATAGTGTTCAGGGATGTGGATGTTAGGTGAATGAGCTATGGGAAATGCAGGGTTACAGGGACTGGGGTGGGGAGGGATGCTGTTGAGTCTGGGTGGGATGCTCTTCAGAGTCAGTGTGGATTTGTTGGGCCAAACAGACTGTTTCTATGGATAGGATTTACATAACTATTGGACAGGCATGGCCTAATTAGTGACAGCCAGCATGGCTTTGTGCAAGGCAGGACAAGTCTTACAAACTTGATTGAAAAATTCAAAGGTGATCAAGGAGGGTAGACCAGTGGATGTTGTCCACATGGGCTATAGTAAGGCTTTCAACAAGGACCCTCATGGTAGGCTCATCCAGAAGATTTAGGTGCACAGCATCCACAGTAACTTGGGTGCACGGATTCAGAATTGGCTTGCCCATAGAAGGCAGAGGGTAGTGGTGAAAGGGTGTTTTTCATTCTGGAGGTCCGTGACTAGCGGTGTTCCGCAGGGATCCATATTGGGATCTCTGCTGTTTGTGATTTTACGTACATGACTTAGATGAAAATGTAGATGCACAGGTTGGTAAGTTTGCAGATAATACAGAGATTGGTGGAGTTGTGGAATAGTGTAGGAGGTTGTCAAAGGATACAGTAGGATATGGATCAGAGAAATGGCAGATGGAGTTTAATGTGTGCAAGTGTGAGGTGCTGCACTTTGGGAGATCAAATGATAAGGAAAAGTATACATTTAATGACAGGACTCTGAACAGCATTGATGTACAGAGGAATCTTGGGGTTCAAATCCATAGCTCCCTGAAAGTGGCCACACAAGTAGATGAGGTGGTGTATGGTATGCTTGCTGTTATTGGTTAAGGAATGGAGTACAAGAGTCAGGATGTCCTGTTTCAGCTTTGTAAGAATTTGGTTAAGGCACACTTAAAAATATTGAATTCAATTCTGGTCACCACATTACAGGAAGGATAGGGAAGCTTTGGAGAAGGTTTACCAGGATAGTATGAGCAATAGGAGAGATTAGAAAAACTCAGGTTATTTTCTCTTGAGCAGTAGAGGCTGAGGGGGAGACTTGATAGAAGTTTATAAAATTACAAGAGGAATAGGTGGAGTTGATGGTCAGAATCCTTTTTCTTCCTGGGCTGAGTTGAAATGTCTAATAGTAGGGAGGCATGTATTTAAATGCGAGGGGAAAAAAGCTCAAGGAGATGCGAAGGAATGTTTGTTTCTTTGAAAAAAAACTGTGATAGGAGTCTAGAACACACTGTTGGGGTGGTGGTGGAGGAGGCAAATATAATAAGGGCCATTCAAGGGACTTTTAGATACGAATATGCAAGGAATGGAGGGATATGGACCAAGGGCAGACAGAAGGAATTATTTTAATTTGGCATCATGTTCAGCACAACATCGTGGGCTGAAGGGTCCATTCTTGTGCTGTACTGGTCTATGTTTATGCTCTATTAGTGTGTCAGTCCAAAGAGTGTGTGCTTGCATACTTGAAGTGGAACTTGAATTTACAAAAGCAAGGGGTACTATTCACTGAGCCACAGCTGATGTCCATCACGATTACCATATATCCCCAACAGACAAGACTTGGAAAAATGGAATTAACATTGCAATCATGAAATACGTCAACAGCTTCAAGTTTTCATGACACTGCATGATGAAATAACATGATAACAGATTGATATGAGTTAGATGTAGCTGACAATCTAACATACTAAATATTGTTTCAGCACAAAACATTAAAAGTAAACCCTTTGGCTCCTCCATATTTTAGCAATGTTTAATAGTAACAGATATTGATCAGGTATTTCAGTGTTAAAGATATAAATATCAGATTAACTTAACATTAAGGGCTTATTGGAAAAAGGTATCTGACCTGCTGTGACTTTAAAAAGGTAAGAGAGAATGTTTGTCATCTGCAAAAACTGATCTTTGACACGACCTATTCATTCAATCGGAAATTGAAAGAATTTCAAATCATTAGTTTGATGCCACTATGCTCTCAAAAATAAAACCAATTATCAGCAGTTAACTGTAATTGAATTAAAAACAAAATGAAGAACATGACTAGTATGCTGGTGGTGTCACAGTTCACTTGGGGAGTTCCACGTTGCTATGGCACCATACACATTTACATGCATGTTGGATGCTGGAGCCATGGATAGTGATTGCAGAGGGTGAAACATTCCATCACATGGCTGGCTAAGAATGTTTGTTGCTGTTATTGTCTACTATTAAGATGCATTGGGAGGATTTGCTGGTTGATAACCTGGATGGAAAGGTTGATTGATGAACACACCTTCCTTAGTCATCCAGTCCTGGAGGTTACACTCAAACCTGCAGCTTCTGACGTCGAGGCTGGGACACTATCCATTCTGCCACAAGCCTTTGCTCTTCAGTGTCTCGAGGTGAACTTAAATGCAAGCAGCAAAGAGAAGTAACTATTGCATTGGGCATATTAAATGATGCTTGCAAATTAAAACAACCACCAGTTACTATTTGGCTTCTGTGCTGAAACCCAATTATGCTAATTGGATCAATTAACGTTGCAAATATAGAAAGAGCCCATTAAAAGGAGTCTGTGAAGACCATCTGTATGTTAATTTGATTACTTCCAAAATCACCTTTGGATTTTCGTATATCAGTCAAATTCCTAAAAGTGGAGAATATATATTTGCTCTACTGATTATATGGCTCATTGAGATTCCTATTGTCCTTTGCACTGACCACAGTATAGTATCACATTTGGAATCTAAACTTTGCAATAGGTACCTGGGGCTGCAGACTATAGTTGAGCCTAGAGCTCGGATTGTGCTCAAGACATCTGCCCCACTAACTTGTGACTGAGCACATTTCCCTATCTACCCATCACTAACAAAAGTGATTTTCTGCTTTATTCCAATCTATTAATACAAACCTTTGTTGCAAGTGTTGGAAGTAATTTCGTCGCCAAGCACATTTTGTAATAACAAAGCCAAAAATTTTTCTATTCAATGCTGACTCAGGAAGGTATAAAACAAGGGTTTACACGATCTTTGATTTTTAGAAGATGACAAAGCAGCAAACAAACAAAGCTTTCTCATTCTTTTATGGGCTTGCTACAAAAGCAATCCAACCAATTATTGCATTATTTCACTTTTGTTTCAATTATTTCTTGGAACATAATTTAGCTTAACAGTTTCATATCAGATAGCAGTAGAAATCTATTGAATGCCACGTCTTTCCCCTTCCCAACGCCATCCCACCAACACCAGTAACAAACTCCCAGCCAATCCATGGAGTGGACAACATTAAGTTCCTACACATTAAGTTCTGCCCAATGAAGAGGGGTTTGTTGAATGATTTTTGACAAAGCAGATAAATCATAGATGATGCATCATTCTTCCAAGTGAACAGTCTGTAAATGTGGCATTCAGTACTTTTCAGAGATCATGTTTATACAGGAACTTAACTGAATACTGTCTTATTTCAGACATGGAGCATGAATTTACTGTACAGTAGAGCCAAATTACATATATCCCCACACCACACTTCTTTTGAGATATTCAGCTCAAGCCAACCAACTATATTAAAAAAAAACTTTTTTGTCCTGTAGTAATTATGTTGAGAGAGTGTCAGTGACAACCTCTCCATTCTATTAGTTCCAATTTTAGAGTTGGCGATGTGCTAACTCACTACAATACCCCTCCTTTTAACAATGTTAATCGTTACTTCTTGACCCCCCCCGCACCTTACAAAAACAGAATCATTGAAGCACAGGAGGCCTCGATTTGACCACTGGCGTCCATGCAAGAGTGACCCTCAGGTAATCCCACTGCTTGTTTTCTCCATTCAAATAATGGCCCAACACCCCCTTGAAAACCATTACTGAACATGCCTCCACCACAATCACAGGCCACGCACAACCACCCACTAGTGAGAACATCTTTCCTCGTGGCACCTTTGGTTGTTTGGCCAGGGGCTTTAAATCTTTATCGGCTGGTTCTTACCTCTTCTGCAAATGGAAACATTTTCACTTTGCCTGTTCTGTACAGACCCTCAAGATTTTGAGCACCTCTAACCAATTAACCATCAACCTCCTCTTCTCCAACAGAGTTCCAACTTCTGCAATTTCTCTTTAACTGAAATAATTACCCCCAAAACCATTCTCGAATTGCTCAGCATAACAGATCTATGCGCTGGCTGAGTGGCTACGGTTCAGACTGAGTTGGAAGATACCTCTTTTAAATCAGATGAATTTCCTCTTGAAGCTGTTTTAATTAAAATTTGGCAAAAGGATACATTATCCTAAAATCATGCATTTGACAGAAATAGCTTTTGTAAGCACAGACTTACCTCAGTAAAAGTACTAGAACAAACTCATTGGACTGAAATATTTTACTTGGTTTTAAAGAACAATTAAAGTTACATCATTTAGTTTTGTATTTATACAATCATCTCCCAACAATTTTGCTACATTTTTTTCCAAACCAAGTGCAATATATTTCAAGCTTCAGTTCCCAGTTGGAAAGTGGCTCCTTCAGGTTAAAAGAGTGGAACGTTTATGTCATCATCTTTGTGGGTTGCAGCAACTGCAATGTAACAAGGGAGTTTATTTCAAATTTGATTTCCCCCTTTATGCTTGGTAGGGGGATGTATGCATACCATTTCATACAATCCCTAAAATGGGGAAAAAAAATCCCGGATTAAAAAAAAATGGCAAAACCAAGAGCAGGTGACCTTCAATGAATGAAGTAACTTGCACTCACCACAGTGGTTATTACTTATTTTAGCATCCAAAGAATAAAAGCAGTGCTCCAAGTCTCAAAAGCACAAATTTGCAATCTTGAGATATCTTAGGAGGATTATACACGTCAGAAAACACATTGAGATGTGCTCCAAACTCAATGACAAGCATTAGTTCAAATGTCAGCTGCTGCAGGCTCTTTCATGCACTGGGACCAAAATTTATATAGATTAAAAAAAAGTGTTACCCATCATGCCTTCATTTCCAAAACATTAAACCACAAACATGATACCCAATGAGAACCAAGGATTCAATTATAAAATGCTATAAATATTCCAATAAAATGATCCTCATTTATAGAAATGGTGAAGTGCGTTCTAGAAATCAAAAGGGTGGTTGTTTTGCAAGTTCATGAAACTCATTATGAGAAATAAGTTCTAAAGGTATGAAAACCAGACAAACTGAGCAGATGTACGACGGGAAGAATGAATTTTATCCTTTCAGGGGAAAATTTATGTATATATCAGGGTAAAGAATTTACCTAATATTCATAGGACTCATCTTTTTAAGATACTGTAAATTATTTGCAAGTTCACGCAAGTTTCCAATACACATTTGTCATTAGAGTACGAGAGCTCTTCCTAGTCTCTGTAACTTGTAACCTGCTCCCCCTGCATTTATTATCCACATACAAGGTATTGTAACCATACGTTCTCCAAGTGGTAAAGTTAGCCATCTATTCAATTTTGATATTCTAGATCTGACTGGCTCTTTCCTATTGGAACTGGACCAGAGAAAGCTGGAGCTTTAATATTTCTTCGATCCTTTTCTGCTTCTTCATCCTCATCATATCGCTCATCGTCATTATCCTCCTCATCACTCTGGTGCGGGCTTGAATGCAAGGACACTGAAGGGGATGGGGGCACCGATGCTGGCCTGGGATATTTGAAACCCTCGGTCTATTGGAGAAAAAGAAATTAATTCATGACATTAACTTTGTTTTAAAATATGATGTTTGGAAAGCGACCATTTCTTATAATGCTGCCTTAATTTAAATTTTAAGCAGCATGCAACAATAGAAAACAAACCAGCTTACCAATGGTGGAATGATTGGGTCCATTTGGAACTTTTCTGGGAAGGTTTTGCTCAGTGCAAGATGGCGGGCATACATGTAGTACTGAATATGAAAAGAAACAAAAATTTAAAAATAAACCAATATAAAAAGATGCAGGAAAATGATGCAACCAAAAACGAGAGTTATACATGTTTATTCATCACGTATTGGTATGAGCTATTTTTCCAGAACTTACAGGAATATCAAATTATATTTTGAAAAATCTAGGCTTACACTTTTAAGATATTTCAGAATCAGCTGTATTTAATTTTGAAGGCTTGGTTTCAAACCATTTTAGGGGGCAAGAATATTTTTATTTACTACTAAAGAAAGGTGGCTCTCTTCCCATCATATTAGCTTCTTCAGTCAGGAATTAAAACTGACTAATCTCCATTCTAATTCTTGAAATGCCACAATAGCACTCCAACAATATTTTTCTCTTCCAAAAGGCATCAAGGTCAGTAACTTTCACAATCTTGAACTGATATCCTCTCGTCTTCTTGCCTGGCATATCTGAAAGCTGTTTCAGATTGTCTCCCTAAGCTGATGAATCATCAGAATCTTGTCCACCTCACGCAACATCTCTTTGCAATTTTTTTTTGAACAATCAAATCATGTGTTAGAACTACTCCCCCTCATATCAGGGATCCTTTACACTGCATTCCTCTATATTGTCATTAGGGCCTGAGTCAGTGATCAGTACTCCAAGCAGTACTTCAAGCTGTGACCTGAAAGAAAAAGCACCATGCAGCTTTAACATAACATTCAGAGTGATCTTAAAGGAACTGCCCAGTCAGTGAAATGTTTAAGGCAACAAATGGAAACCTTTCACAATGGTATGTCAAATTGACCCACTCACTATTTTTTAATAATCACTTAAGAGCCATGACGAATGCACAGTGCTAGTCTGGAGTTCTGAATGTATCAAAGAACATATAAAACAAGATAGAAAGGCTTTCAGAAATGACCACTGAAACTGATCCTAGGCAATGTGAATCAAAGCAACTCTGACAATTAAGCAACTGAAGTGCTCCCTTGCTAAAAAGGCAGAAAACATGTGTCTAGACTTTGCTAGAAAACCAAAATCCTACCCTCCCACTGCCACTAAGTCTTCCCATAACTACAGGAAATACAAGTGGGATGGAATTGACTAATTGACTCCAAAGATGATTTAGAACAAAGAGATTATGAGACAGGTTAATATTTCAAAAACAACTCAACCGTACACACATAACTGAGAACTGAAAGAACTCACTCAATCTGACAACATATGATCTATGTATATCAGTACAAATTACAGAGTGCAGTAGGCCTTTCAATTCTATTCTGTATCTTAGACTTGCATTTTGCAATATAATGAAGTTATAGCTGTACAAACCTTTTATTTTATAATGTATTTTAATCCTAATGATCACAACAGTTATAAATAAAAACTGTGTCACCACTGTTTAGAAACAATTTTTTTACTGTACTAATTAGTAATAATAATAAAAACCCAAATCCTATTTGCTTTGCTGCCAGCTCACGTCATTTGAACATACAAAAAGAGACAAGTCAACCCACTTCTTCAAATGCCAAGGCCCATTAGCTACATGGGGATCTTTTTTGTACTGATCAACTTGCAAAAGAAAGCCTCTTTTGAAGGTCTAAGCTGAACCTTGACTCCAACATACTCTATTTTCGTTTATCTGTGAATTCAATTCTCTCATGAGACAATTACCATTTAAACTGCACAATATTAGGAATACGTGGAAACCCACTCAATATGCTCCACTTCCATCCAACCTCCCTTCACTGCAACATAGGGCCTCTTCAGTTGCCTTATGTTTCTGTCTTTTAGCCTACTGTTAATTCACATTAAAACCCTGGACAGACACGGACTTGATTTTCTGAAGGATTCTCTTACAAGTGTAAATATGTTCAAATTTATGCACAAGGCTCCTGCTTTCTTTCATTAGGTAGCACCTTCTCAGGTAAGTCTTGAGGCTGATCAGGCACAATTAACCCTTTCTGGAGCCATGTTGGCTGTTATTCCTGTACAGGTAATCCCATTTTTGTTTTGGATTATAAATCCCATTCAGTTTGCTATGATGGAGGCCTGTTTAATATGCCTGCAGTCAATTATCTTGAACATGAGAATACTTACACTTGTTTACAGTCAGTCAGAAACCACCCCACTGTTTGTCAACTCCTTTAGAACAACTGACAGATCTTGACAAATCTCTACGCTTGTCACAAAGGAGGTTATTTATTGGTTTTCAGTCATTTCAGTAGATTTGCAATTTCTGCTTCACCGATCTCAAAACTCCAGAGTAGACCTATAACATTTCCATATAGACAGGCCCTTGATCCTTCACAAATTGTCGTAGCAGTTGCACGCACTTACTCTAGCCAAGTATCTCCAGTCCAGAAGCTCAGAAAGCCTTTCAGTTCTGTTTCTCTGGATAATTCTCTGGCGACGTGACTGCTTGCAGAATCCAAACATGAACTGAGTCAACTGATTGCAAGATTCATCCAGTGATCGGAATCTACGATCCACTATATAAATCCCTGGTCGCAAAAACAATACAAGAGAGTGTAAATTTTCTTGGTCAAGTTAATGTGCAGTGCCTTATGCAGCATTTAACTTACCATAGGCTGTTGGATCTGCCACATGCTCTTGCATAAAACAACCAAATCCAGATAGGTTGGTAGTCACACTAGGAATTCCCATTACTGTGCACTCAGCTATAAAAGCAAATATCATAGTCATCAGGTTTATATATATATGGTTTAATACTAGTCAAGTTTTACATTCCACTAATTATCACGCAAATAAATACTAAAATCTATGCAAGTAAAGATGAACAGGTATATCTGCTAAAGTACTGCCACATATACACTCTCTTCCTTTATTGCCTTTCTGCGCTCCTATCTGCTAGTTCCACAACTTCATGGACTTCCTTACCCCATCACCTTTTTTTTCCCCCCCCAAACTGGGAAAGGACAATGTGGAAAGCAGTCAACATAAGTGCAAGTTGCCCTGAAATTCAGTGATCGATGGTGTGGAAAATACACTAGCTCCCACCAATAGTCAATATATTGGCTAGAATACAAGGGGCATTCATTGCTCCTTTTTTGAGCAATGCAATAAGAACATTAAATATCCACTTGAAATGACCAGAAGAGCGATCAGTTAATTATATGATAATGTAGTAAACTCTCTGCAGTGGAGTGAATAGATTAGCAATTCAAGTTCCTGACCTATGATTGAAAACACTATCTTCTGATTGACATATGACAATAGAAATATAAAAAGTGAAAATGAAGTCAATGAACATTGATAAAATAACCTGGAAATTCACAGTAATCTAGTACTTTTAGTGGTGGAGCCAAAACATTAATATGCAGTTGGGTACTGGTGCGTTAGAGCACAAGTGAATTATCGGGATAACTAGCCCTTGATATTAGTTTTTGTTTCTTCCAATGTATTTTTAAACAGGTTGATTATGCATTATGCAATTACTAGAACAGTTATGTCCACATATTTCACAGACAATTTAATTCATGAGTTGTGAAGGGTTCTGAAATGAAAAAAAAAAATAATGGAAGGAACAGGAAGATTGCTTACCTTGTAGCATGATAGAATCATCATAAGAATTGAACTAATCAGGATTATATCTGGGAAAATTGCATTTTTAAAATCCTGACAAGATATGACAGTGGTGTTTAAGGGACGTTTAGATAGCACATGAATATGCAAGGAATGGAGGGATATGGGTGGCATGGTGGCTCAGTGGTTAGCACTGCTGCCTCACTACACCAGGGACCTGGGTTCAATTCCAGCCTCAGGTGACTCTGTGTGGCACATTCTCCCCGTGTCTGAGTGGGTTTCCTCTGGGGTGCTCCAGTTTCTTCCCACTTCCCACTGTCCACTGTGGTTAGGTAGATTGACCACACTAAAGTGTCCAGGAATGTGTAGATTTATGTGGATCAGCCATGGGAAATATAGGGTGTGGGATGCTTTACAGAGAGTGTCAGTGTGGACTTTTTGGGCCAAATGACCTGTTTCCAAACTGTAGGGATTCAATGATATTCTATGACCAGTAGCAGGCAAAAGGGATTAGTTTAATTTGGTATCTCATTTGACACAACAGTAGTCCTGCTTCAGTTCAGAATCTTCAACATAAAATGAGATACCATGGCATAAACAGGACCCCAAAATATTTGAAAGTGGTAACTGATTAGGTCACCTAGCACTGTAGTACAAACAGGCAAATAAGAGGAACTCACTTTCACCAACAGTCCCTTCTTGTAGTGATAAAGCACTACAGTTCTCCAGAACAATAGTGCATCTATCACACCACACACTCAACGACTGAATGCTGTGTGATGTACCCAGAAGTAGCTCTTCTTCCACAATGTGAAGTAGCCATTTAAAACACTTTCTATCTATACTGCTCATGCCTACAGCCTTTTCCAACTTTTGGAAGACAAAACTCTGAAATAGTTTACTCTTAAGAAATAAAAATAGGGACACAAAGTAAAATGACACTTACCAGGAGTGTATCCCCAAGGTTCATAATAAGATGGGAAAACTCCGAGATGACAACCTCGAACAAACTCTTCATAATCCATCGGCAAAAGTGGGCTCGTAGATGATAGAAACTCAGGATGGAAAACAATCTGGGAAGTTATAATGTAATGTAGAGGATTTTAAAACAACATGGAAATTCACATGGTATTGGGTTTAAAAGGTACATTTTTACTATAGCTTTAGGGTCACTAGGATACTAATGTTGTAACGTTCCACTAGTTGACTTGGCCTGACTCCATAAGGAAGCGGCTTCACATCACTTGGGGCTGATGAGTCCAGTAGGGTCTGGAGTGAGGGGTCATAGACACAGGAATAACTACAGGAGATTTTGAACAGAAAGTAGTGAGGGATTTTGGTACGATGAGGGCAGAGATACTGTTCTGGCTTGCTAGAACAAGGAGTGGTCCGAGAAGGGGATTGAGAGGCGCTGACACCGGAGAGCTGGATGTTAGCGCAGGATACTTAGGTAAAAGGGTACGTGATTGGTTGGTAAGGTTTTAAAGCTTCTCTTTTCTCTAAACTAGGATCAGGAAACTATGTGCAGAGCTGGATGAACACAGCAGGCCAAGCAGCATCATAGGAGCAGAAAGGCTGACGTTTCGGGCCTAGACCCTTCTGATGG